TATATGTATATGTATACGTCTCCAGATGGGGGCCATAGGGTTCAGATCCTCATGTGAGATGTGATCATAGAACACAGTCCTGAAAATCATACTGAGCACAGTCTGACCTGAGGTTCACGTTAGCAAGGAATACATCTCTTTTGAGTTCTCTCTGTGTGTGTGTGTGTGTGTGTGTGTGTGTGTGTGTGTGTCTCTCTCTCTCTGTTTTCCTCTCTCTCCCTCAGCTGTAGACCCTCTGCCTGCCACGTAGACAATCTACTTCTGGTTGATCTAACTTCTCTTTTTTTCCTCCCTATTCCTTTCCATTTTTCCCTTCCTTCCTTCCTGTCTTCATTTCCTTCCTTCCTTTTTTATTTCCTTCTTATACTTAAGTCATATTTTCCTTCCTTTTTTCGCTGTTTTTCCATCTTTCTTTCCTTTCTTCCTTCAGTTGTTTCTTCCTTCTTTCCATTTTCCTTCCCTACTTCTTTTTACTCTGGTCGTTCCTTCCTTCATTCATTTCTTCTTTTTTTTCCTTCCTTTATTTCCTTGCTTTATTATTTTCAGTTCTTTCTTTCCACTGTTCCCTTCTATCTGTCAGTCCATATGGTGCTTAATTGGATTTACAGTAAGCTACTATGAAAGTTTAAGGCTTAACAGTTTTGCCATCTCATTCTTTGCCTTTCTCTGTATTCATTCTACTGGCAGTAATTAAAGAGACAACATTTAGAGTAAAGGACCATCACTCTCCAGAGACCTTGACACTAATAGGATATTTTAGAGATGCTTAATAACAACTGTCTCAGTGTTTCAAAAACCCAGTTTACTCTTTTAAAATTAGTTTAAAATGTTGCTCATTTTCAGTGGGTTTCTGTTTATGAAAGTTCAATGTACTGCTGTAATTCACCTAAAACAGACTTGCCTCCCAAATTTGCTTAATTGAATTGATGTTCCATTTGGCCATAAGACAAATGGAGCTTTACTGAATAGATTGTGTTTGTGTTGGATTGGAAACATAACACCTGTTCTGTACATGACGAATCACCTAACTTCTTCACTTTTTTTTTTTTTTTGCTTTCGGAAAATGTGTAAATTCCTCTCAAATTCTTAACACCTCTGGGCACACACTTGCATGTTGTGGAATCAAAACACTGCCTTGGCCATGCAAAGGGATTTGGTTATGCAATGGAGTGGCAAACTGCGAACACAGGAATCAGATCATTCTGTAATTCCAGTAAGTCGTGCCTTGTGTCCTGCCAGAGCATTGTGAGTGTCAGCTGTCAGTTTTAACCTGATCAAATAGCCTTGTGGGCCACCCTCCAAGCTGCATTCCTCAGGTGCACCCCTCTGAATTTGGGTTAGGAGGACCATGGATGTGTCCCTGATGACCTGGAACATAGGTTTCCAAAGTCAGATTGCCTATACGTGAGAATGCACTCATGTTCTCGTTTTGGGTTGTTACGACCTCTCGTCACACATTATACCTCTCTTCCTGGCCGTTTTTTCCCAGTTCTTACTTCCCCATCCCCCCTTTTTTTTCCTCAGAGTTTAGGTTGGCAGAAGGCCAAAGAGGTAGAAGGAGGGAGAATGGGAAAGAGAGCGCAAATCGGAAGGCAGGGTTTCACCGAAAGACAAAAAAGTGTCCATGAGGGCATGAAGTGCATGAAGGAGGAAAGCCAGACCTCCTCCACTTTCCCCAAAACCATGTGATCTGCTCATCTCTCACTTACAGGCACAGATACCGTAACTGCCGGAGCCGGTTCCTGACCATTTCTTCCTTTTTTTCTGTCACATCCATCCGTCTTTGTCGCTGTTTGTGTCTGTACATCTGAGCGGCCCTGTCGTTCATGTCACAGAATACCTCAGGCAGGTACGACGACACAACATTCATTATAAACTCTTTCACCCTGCTGGAGGACTGTTTACTATTGTCCTCCTACATTATCGACACACTGTTTTCCTGTTTAACACTGTAAAGTTGTTTTGACACAATATGTATTGTATAAAGCGTAGAGCCCTGCACGGGCCTCAAATATAGGCCCTAGCCCGGCTCTGGTCCGAGATGCTCAGGCCCTAGCCCGGCCCTTGTCCGACAGCTTATCAGAATTGCCCGTCTTCCCCCCCCCCCCAAAAAACGCTTGGAGCGTCTTTTTGTTCGTGAAATGTAAGTTTTTGTTTTTTAATGTAAACGACCAAGCGGCCAGCGGCAGACAGTGAGTTGATCATAGCCTATGTTTGATCAATTTAGCCTTCTCAAATCATCACGACTTGCCTAAAATAAAATCTATAGATATAAAACAGTTCAAGCATATCACTATGTTAGTTTAAATGTTTAACCTATATAAATGTGCGCTATTACACGCATATCTAATCGTTTGTGCGGAGAGCTAAAGCGCGCTTTACAGAACATGGAGGCGCCGGCACGATCACTTGTATTGGAAACAACTTAAAATATGTAGTCAATTTTGCTCATAAAGGTAAGAGTAATATATCACTTGGAACTGTAAAGGGTCTACTTTTATTTGTGTGCACTCACAATATCAACAAAACGTTGTGCTTTTATAAAATAAAGGATACATACAGTATGCACTTTCTGCAATTTCGGCCAGGAGCGCTTCACAAGGATGAACTGAAACTCAGCGAATACTTGCCTCACAGACTTGCTAAATATATCTATAGAAAGCTTTAAATTACTACTTTAAAACTAAATAATTCAAATCAAAAACAAAAACTCTTTTTACGGATTTTATAAAATCCGTAAATATGCATTTCTCTCTAAAGGCGCGTCCAATGAAGAGATGGCTAGTCAAGATCGTCATCTTCATCTTTGCAACACGGACTCAGAAAACACTAATTTATTAATAAATAATTCAAATATCTCCTTACTATTTCCCCCCGACACATTCATGGTAATTACTTTTGCTGGGGCTTTGCGGCACGCTTTAGCCTATTGCGTGCGTTTTTTACTGTCATGTGCAAGGATATTTTTGCAGATTCTGCACTGCACATGACCAATTGACTCACTGTTTGCCGTGGTAATCAAATCAAAACTCTTCCAAAATGCAGCTTTTCCCGAAGCATTGGGAACTTTTAGTAACTCCCCACTTCTCCCTGATGCTCTGCATGGTCAAATGTCACCTGTATGCTAATGCGTGCGTATATGCGTTGCGTATTGCATAGGCGATGTATAATATTTTATTATTTTCAATATAACAATATGAGCCCGAGTCCGACCCGAGCCCGATCTGTTAAAAACAAAAAAAATTTCACCTTGCACGGGACCCGATGGGCTTGCAGACCTCTAATAAAGCGCTATATAAATAAAGGTGACTTGACTTGACTTCCTTTAGGGAAGACTGGATGAGTGATGTGTAAATGTTGCCCAACCTTTAATTGTAGGTAAAATCATGATGATATCATGCAAATTTTCAGTTCCCATGACTCCCATGTCTTTTAATAGCTCACCACCTGCAACTTGAACATGTCTGTTATAATTATACATTTCTAGGAATAGAACAGCATGCGTAAAGAGGTGCATAAACTTTAGATGGGACATTTTTGGTGGTCAAGTAACGGTATTCTGATTTTTGTTGAGGAATTTTGCAGCTTATTTTAACATTTGCCATTTGTTTAATGTGTTAGAGCACACATTGTATCCAACAGTGCGCTGATCTGTTTCTCACATATTTAGAATTCCATGTCAGGATTTCTGTTTGACATCTTCCTGGCCGGAGGAGGTACAGGGTGTACTGAAAAACTGAATTGGACATTTTGAAGAAGGGAGAGAGAAAATGTGTTTGTGTTAACGTTCTCGAACATTTTCCCCAAATGCAAGCCACTGGAGGAAGTTGAGAGTAATATTAATTGGTGTGAAAGAGTCTGCACCATTATCGCTGACTGAACTTAATGCGTGCTATTATGAAACACGATGCTGGATGTTTTTTGTGGCTAATGTTTCATGTTTTGTAACCTTCTTGGCTACTAAGGTTGACATTTTAAACCTATTAGCAAGATTTTCTCTAACATTACCCTTCCCAGGATCCCTCGAGCAGCGCTATCACTAGAAGAACGCATGTTTCCCACCCACTCTGGGGTGACGGCAGTCTACAGTGTGAGTGATTACACACAGATGTCCACTAACAGTCATTACACATCACTATAATATATATACAGACAATCCCCAAGGCCAAAAATATACTTTAAGCAAGTATGTGAGAGCATGTGGTCCTATTGTACATACTTACTGTGAGTTCTTTTATCATTATTATTACAAGCAGTTGATATAGATGCTTTTAACTATCTGTCTGAGCTAGCTATATACATGTTAACAGTTTAACTAGCTTTAAATAGTTTGCTCAGCATGATTCTCCTCAGACTGTAACTGTAGTTGACCTGAAAAAAAAAAACATTTAAAAATGTAATATATTATATAAAACTATATAAAATATACAAATGAAATAATAAAGTGACCACCAGGGGAATATAGAGCATTGTTATATAACTGAAAGGAACGATGGTACGCTGTGTGTAATGTTGTTTGTGGTCATTCCACAGGTATCTAGACACCCTGGTCCTCCATACCAAGGTCATGACCTCAGCAAAACCCACCCAAATCTGGCGGGCACCCCTCCTGGCCACGCCACGTCCCCAGCCCTCTCTCAGGTATCAGTCCCTGCCGCCCCCTCGTACCGCTTCCTCAAGAGCTGGGAGACAGGTGGGGTGAGTACCAATCTACAGAATTATTTGCTTAATTATCTGATACTTTATCTTTTAAATGTTGGCGTTGCTGTGTTTTTCTGGGTCACCTTTTGTGTACCAGAAATTATGTTTGTTCTTTGCCTTTGTTGTATCTGAATTAACTGTGACATTTAAGGTCCGTTCATACCAAGAATGATAATTATAAAGATAACTATTTTAAAGGCACAATATGTAATTTTCGCCGCTGGAGGGCGCGTATTCAAAATAAACAAAGAGGCAAAGGCGTAGTTTGATGACGCTGTGACTGAGTGTGGAATCATGGGAGTTGTCGTCTTCATCCCCACAGCCGATGCAATCCGACGGGACTCGGGCAGAAATCATGTTCATTTATGAGCTAATGATTTATTAACGTAGTAGAATACAGCAGGGTGAGGCTGAAAGCCGTCGAAGCGAAACGAGACCGCTGAACGAGCACGATTTAATAAAAATGACCCCTTTAATAAAAAAATCTTACATATTGTTCCTTTAACTATATGCCAATATTATTGTCGTTCATCAGCTGGAAAAATCGTTCTGAAAGTGATTCCAACGATATCATTTCTCTGTGCCTTTATCGTTATAGCTGTGGTGTGGACTCTGCTATTTTTTAATATTGAGAACAATTTTTAGAACTATATCTTTATTAATATATTTATAGTATTCGTCCTTGGTGTGAACAGGCCTTTAGACTTGTGTATTACATTTAGATGGCTGATGTTTTGGCACACATACATACTCACAATACAGAGTGCCATGGTTTTGTGTTATGAGTGGTTTTTGCACTGCTCTCCTCACCGTGATTACCAGCAGCCTGTAGGAACACTCTCACTATTTCATAAATAGTGTTTCCAGCCGACACAGGTGCTGTAATGATCCCACGACTTTCACACACACACACACTCTGGACAGATTTATATACACTCTGCAGACACTTTTTTATACACTCTGTTGCCGTGGATTGATTGGAGGGTAATGTATTCATCTGGGTTTTGTCTGACAAAGAAATGAAGTCAATATGCACACAATCACACAGATAACTATGAGCTCGTTTTTTCACATGGTGCTCTTGCTATTTTGTATTCTGTGCTGTGAATGGAAACTGTACATCATGCTTCAAAAGAAAGTTGTCTAACCTTTTCGCTGTCTATGATTCACTCCTTAGCCTCCATATAACCCAGCTCAGAATGCAGGCTCCGCCCCCTTGGTGTACTCGCCACAGACGCAGCCAATGAACGTACAGCCGCAGACTCGGCCGGTAAGCACTGCACCCCACACACGTACATTAAAGGGGTCATAAAATGCTTTTTTTTTAAATATAATTTTTTTATGTTTTTGAGGTGCACTTATAATCTTAGTACGTGTTTTCACCAAAAACTGTCATAGTTTAGCTATAAATGGTAATTTTCTACCCTAAATTTAGCCCTCTGGTATATATCAGTATATAAAATAATCACAACATAGATAACAGATGGCTTTCACGCTACTAACAGGAACAGTTTGAAGTTGATCATTAAAGGCTGATTTATACTTCTGCGTCGAACCTACGCCGTAGCTTACGCATAGACGACCTTCTTATATAAAATAAAACAAAGCAAAGAACAAGTGTCTTATCATTTATTATACTACATAGCATTATACATCAGTAGTTGTCCGCAACAAACAATGTTGATCTGCCGTGGTACAAGTCCTTGTGCAGATTGGAAGAATGCCATCATCTCCTGTTCCGTTGTTGTCTCCTTTTTGTAGTTTTAAATAATGATTTGATATTTATTTGCCGCCGTCACGGCTATAATGCTTCTCCGATGAGACGCATCTTCTTCGGCTTTTGCCGTGGTACTGCGGGTTACACCAGCAACATGCCCATGGACACTGCTGACTAGCGGTTTGCATGTGTACTGCACGTTGACGCGGACAACGACGTAGAAGTATAAATGAAAACTGACGCATAGCCTACGGCGTAAAGGCTACGGCGTAGGTCCGACGCAGAAGTATAAATCAGCCTTTAGTCACTGGCTTGATTCACTAATGCATAAACAACAGTAAGAATGTCTGTACATGAGCACTTACATATTACACCGATCACAGGTCGTAATGCTCATGAAATGCAGTTTCAGATTTTTTAATTATGTTTCTTGAGATTAGTTTATAAAGAATTGACTCTCCTGATATCAAGTACAGGCATTTCAGAAAGGTAGAAAAGAATACTTCTTATTTTAAACTGGGGAGTTAGTTTTGAGTTTTGAAACTTGCAGTATGTTTTATTGTAGAGTAAACTCTTAAACTCTATATGTGTAAATATCAAGAACATTTTCATTCTCCATTTCATGACCCCTTTAGCATTGAACATCCCTGGCAGTCACATTCAGTGTTGCACATGGTCCTTGTGATGCTGTCATCATTATGGGGGCACCTGGGTGGTATGATGGTTCTTGCAATGGTATGAATATTTCAGCTGGTAGAGATTCTGTTTGGACAGATTAAAAAAAAAAAATCTGACACCAAGCAAAACAACAAACAAACAAAAAACGCCATTGCCTACTCATAACATGAAATAAGATTGTATTTATACTTTCATTCAAAAGTTTGGAGTTGGTAAGATTTTTTAATGTTTTTTAAAGAAGCCTCTTATTCTCTCTTGTGATCTCTTAAGCCAAGGCTGCAATTATTTGTTCAGAAATACAGTAAAACCTGTAAAAATATTACACTTTAAAATGACTGTTTTCTGTTTTAAAATATATAAAAATGTAGCATCATTACTCCAGTCTTCAGTGTCACATGATCCTTCAGAAAGCATTCTAATATGCTGATTTGCTGCTCAAGAAACATTTCTTATTATCTATGTTGAAAACAGTTTTGCTGCTTAATATTTTTGTGGAAACCGTGATACATTTTTATTCAGAATTCTTTGATGAATATAAAGTTTAGAAGAACAACATTTAATTGAAATTAAAATATTTTGTAATGTTATAAAGCATTAATTCCTTTTAAAAATGTGTACTTACACCAAACTTTTGAAAGATAGTACTGTAGACCATATACCACACGTAGTTTGGCTTGCCTCATTAATATAAAAAAAAATTAGGAGTGTCACCCTGAGGTTGTTGGTCTTGCTGACTTTAAATGCCTGAATCAAACCGACTTCAGTCATTAATTTAAGACCATCAAATCATTAATGTTAAAACCAGCCAGTAGGACCACCTGCTCTGCTGACATGTCACTCAATCCTGCTATGCTACTCTTGTTTCATTTGTAATGGAAATGCAAAGTCATGCAAGGTGAATCATCTGTTAACCTCACTGTCTCGCCATTCTTTCTCTTCTTTTCCTGCTCCTGATGACCTTAAAACGTGCTGTCATCTCTCTTAGTTTGTGACGGGGCCTCGGCCGACCCACCATCAGGTAAATCCCACAGACCTAATGTCTCTCTGTCCTATCAGACACTTCTTAAGAAGCTTTTGGATTTTGCTTATGTGTGGTGTGGTGGATAAAGATCTGGACCGATTGGACTGAAGGTTTTTGGTTTGAGGGAAAAAAGCATATGCTAAATGACTAATTATTTGAAATTGCAAAAGAAAGTTGTACTAGAACTATCATTTACAAGACTGTTTAATGTTCTATTCTTTGCCGCCAATGTCTTCACTCATTTCTAAACTGTGTCACACTGACCATTGTGTGAGATTGATCTTTTTTTAAATGCCATGGCAACATGTCTCCTATTCAGCAGTTTTTTTCATTAGATATGCAACACCAGTGCAAACTGCAAAGACGGTTTTGAGCACATTGGCACACAATTTTAAAGCTATTTAAAAAAAAAAAAAACAATACTGATGTGTCTATGATGGTAACTGTGTCATGAGCCCCTTTCACACATACAATCTTTACTGGTAAATTACCGTTAAGAGATCATGTGTGAACAGGACATTTTCAAAAATACCAGTAAATTCGTTCTGGCAATTTACTGGTATGAGAAGTTGTAACATTACCAGTAAATTACCGGTAATGTGCTCTGTGTGAACGCAGAACGAAATTACCGGTATAAGCATGTGCAAGCTCAGGACGCACTGACGTAAGACATCTACTCTGAACCAGTCATAACATTCTGCAGATGACGCATTTACTCCACGCTGTGTAGTTCGATTTGAAGTCGTCTAATACGATGTCTCTGGGCCAAAAGCAGCTGCATGAATGTGAACGTTTGACACAAAATGGAAATTATCAACAAAAACACTTTACAATCACAACACCGGGACGCGCAGCCACTTAGAGGTCATTTTCAGTTAATGATGTCACGGAATTTGCCGGTATTTTGAAACTGATCTGTGAATGATGCTTTACTGGTAAAAAGACAGAACATCATTGCCTGTGTGAATGGCGCATTTACCAGTAAAGTCGCTCCGGTAATTTTACGGCAATTTACTGGTATTACTTTGTGAAAGGGGCTATGGACAGTTCAGTCCACCCATTGAGTTCACCTAGGACTCCAAAGCATTTAGTGCCTGATTCAAAATTCAGCAAAAATATTTCCAACTTATGTCATCTGAATTTACTGTTATTACACCTGTTAATGTCTTTTAAATTGTTACATATATAATATTCAAATTAGAACTGTTGCGATTTTAGATTTTCACTACACAATTATCGTGGCCAAAAGAATTCACAATAACGCGATATCACAAAATTATCGTGATATCCATAGAAAAAAGTAGTCAAGTCAAATTCATCTTTACCTTTGCTTACTTTGTGTGTTCTCTTTTTTTAGCCAATTATAATTTATGATATTATTGTATTCGTAATATAAACACATATTATTTTTAAGATACCTAGAATTCGAATTGTGTTGTTTGCCACAAGTTTACTACAAATACTCAGCTAAGTAATAGCTCAACCTGTGAGGTGTGTTTAGTGATGCTTGTGGCACAGAAATTACACTCTTCAGTTTTATGAACCATTATGACTAGAGATGTATTCCTAGTCGCATATTCATGTATAAGCTCGACTGTGTAACGAGCTCCCCGTCCTTGAGAACCAGACATTAGAAGTGTCTCCTCTGACTCATCCGTTTCTTGTCTTTTCTGAAGGAGCGTCTAAATGATGATGTTTTGTATTCATGTTATCTGATGAGCAGATGTGCGATGATGAAGACTGAGGCTGATTGCTAATGCTCGTCATGGATGTTAGTGCACTTTTTATTAGATGAAATACTTCAATGTGTCACTTTCCTGAGCAGAATCATTGTTGTAAGTGTTTAGAAGACATAGGCTTTTGTCAGTAGTAACCAAAAGCATACAGAGGTCATTAGGATCATTAGAATGTAAGTTGCTATGGGCAGCATTACACTTGTCCGTACATGCGTGAGTGTGTGTGTTCCAGATATTCCATCCGCTGTGCTTTGGTGTTTCAATACAAGGAAAAACTTGTTTGTCATTTGTTGCTAATGATTTGTTTATGCGCTTTGTGTGTAGCCACAAGCCCATGCGAGTGCGTCCACAAGCATCTGACCTCTAAGGAAAGTTCTGTGACTTTCTGCCCCAACCTGCCACACATTTCTCTCTTTCCAATGGCTGTGCCAAATTTATTTGCGCCAGAATTAAAATCACAGGAAACAACAAATCACGCACAAACTGATGAGTGGCAGATTAAGGATTTGCAGTGCGATACTGAGGAATAGCATTTAGGAAAGATGCTTTTAATGCTGTCTCTAAATTACTTTTTCCCCCTTTAAATTTTCAGTGTTTAACAGATGTGTTAGCCCATATGCAACGGGCTTAGCTTGAAATGTAGCACTGCTGTATTATGTTAAATTATCCTCGATACAGCACAAGAAACTGTTATTGGATGGATGAGATTATGATTGGGTGCTATTACATTAAAATGTACTAAGGTAACTTTTTTTTGATAACGGAAAGTACAGCCATATACTGCTGAAGGAGAAAGTCTTTAGAGAAATGGGATTATAATTGGGAAGAATGTGTCATTTTTGACAAAAACTATAAGGAAAGCCTTAAGGTGGGGTCACATTAGCAAACTTTTGGCGAAATTTCTGTAAGAGCTCCATTGTTCATTGTCAATAGTATAGCAATGTATTAAGCACAGCTCGCACAGAAGTTACTTTCAAATCAGGTAGTTTTCTGTTCGTGAATGTGACTAATCCGTCTGACCTATTCGAAGATGTGGGGGACGAAGATGATTTTGCCCTCATGCAAAACTCCTGATTGTACAGATTCCTATTGAAATTACTAGATTTTGGCTGCGAAACCTTGAGTGTTAAGATTCTGTCACATTTACCATTGTTTGTTGAATTTTCGCAGTCAAAATTGTCTATCACACAATCAATTTTCCCATGCAGATTTTGCAACTGGTTCAGAATCAGAAAATGACTTCTGTGTGTGATATGTTTCATGTATCGCTACATTATTGACAATATACAATGGACCTTTTTTGCCCGCACTTTAATACTTTTTTATTTAGAGGGGGGAAAAAAGCAAAAAGCATAACAAAGTACATAGGTCTGAGAAGGGTTCACCTTATAGAACAGCGCTTGATTGTGTAATGTACAGCAGTGAAAGAAGCTTTGACATCTGTGCTGATGTTAAAAGAGCTGAGTTAAGGTTTCATTTCTCCCTTGTGGCTGCGGCATGTCCCAGCTCGCTTCCACTGCAGACCGGCTAAAACTGATGCCTACAGGCCATTAGAAAACAAACAGAAATAGGAGAGAGTGGAAAGGGAGTGTCTCACACACAAACACACTTACACACAGAGCAGAGGCCGGAATAGTTGGCTGGTGTTGAATGTTGGTCAGACCGTCAGAGGAAGAGAAATGAAGAGCATATAGATCAGAGTCTCTGTGGTGCATGATGAAAGATTCTGGCACTTGTGATAAAAAAATATATATATATATATATATATATATATATATATATACAATAGTTCTCAAATCTGATTATCATCAGAGCTTTTATTCTCCTTACAGTTCTGCCTTTTTATTTATTACTATTTTTTTAATGAATATTTGTTTGGAAAAAGTGCCATCACAACATATATTTGTATATAAAATCGTCACTGCTTTTTACACATGCATTTTTCCAAAGAAACATTTTACAAAACTGACAAAATACAAAAATGAAGGTTAATATATAGATAGTTAAATATAAAAAGGAAATGGGGAGAGACGATACATCAGTAATATATACTTTTTACATTTTAACCAACATTGATTAAACTTTATTTAATAAAGGACTTTCTGTTGACAAAATATCATTCATCACTTATATATAGTCATGTATAGTTGGGGTCGCATGCAGTAATCAATTCTTATTCATAATTTTTTAGAAGCAGCTAACGTTTGAAATAAATATTGGT